AATCTCACATATAGAAGATAGGACAGCAGTCAGTGACCGTGCAAAGAGAGGTCTCTTAAAAACAGTAAGGGATCATGATAAATCAATCCAACAACTCCTAGATGATACAAAGAAGAATAACATAAGACTGATAGGAATCCATGAAGTAGCAGAAGAAAATGCAAAAGACTTAAAAAAGCTGTTCACAGAATTAATGACAGAAAACTTCCCAAACAGAGGGGAAGAGTTTGACATACAGGTAAGTGAGGCATATAGGACTCCAACTAGCCACAATAAAAAAAAAATCTACACCTAGACATATAATAATCAAGATCCCAGAAATCCAACAGAAGAACAAAACACTACAAGCAGTAAGAGAAAAGAAACAAATCACATGCAAAGGAAAGCCCATCAGAATCACAGCAGATTTTTCAACACAATCCCTTAGGTCAAGGAGAGCCTGGAGTGAGGTATTTCAGGCCCTAAAAGAGAACAACTTCCAACCTAGACTGATGTATCCTGCAAAACACTCTTTCAAAATGGATGGGGAAATAAGACACTTCCATGACAAAGAACACCTGAGAAACTTCATGAACACCAAACCAGCACTACAAGGAATTCTAAACAATATCCCAGAAACAGGCAAAGAAGATCACAACACCATGAGGCCCAACAGAGCAAATCAAATAGTCAAGGTAAGAAACTAAAAGGAGAGGGAATAAAATTAAAAAGAGTCAACAAAAGGACAATAACATGACAATAATGTCAGTACATATCAGTTATAACCATCAATGTCAATGGCCTCATTTCACCAATCAAGAGAAATATACTGGCAGAATGGATTAAGAAGCAAAATCCAACAATATGTTGTATACAAGAAACACACTTAGTGCAAAAATAAGCCCATAGACGGAGAGTGAAAGGGTGGAAAATAATTCTCCACATGACAGGAGCCCAGAAAAAAGCAGAGGTAGCAATCTTATTCACAAACAAAGTAAATTTCAGACCAAAACTGATTGAGAAAAAGAAGGCCACTACATCCTTGTAAAGGGAACAATTCAAGAGGAAGAGATGACAATCATAAACATATATGCACTAAATATAAATGCCCCAACCATATAAAACAAATATTAAGTAACATGAAAAACCAAATAAGCACTAATACAATTGTAGTGGGGGATCTGAATATCCCACTGTCACAAACAGACAGATCATCTAGGCAAAAAATCAGCAATGAAATACTAGAACTGAATCAAGCTTTTGGATGCATGGACTTAGTAGATGTCTATAGAGTGTTCCACCCCACAAAATCAGAATATACATTCTTTTCAGCTGCACATGGGTCATTCTCCAAGATAGACCACATACTAGCTCACAGAACAGATCTGAATAAATGCAAAAGAATCTAAGTTATTCCCTGTATATTATCAGATCACAGTGCAATTAAGCTGGAGATCAATAGCATAAGAAACAGTAGGAACTTCACAAACACTTGGAAATTGAACAACACTCTCCTGAACAATCAATGGGTCACAGAAGAAACTAAAGAAGAAATCAGTTTTTACAAATAAATGAAAATGCCAATACAACATAAAGGAATCTATGGGACACAATGAAAGCAGTTCTCCATGGAAAATTCATAGCACTGAATGCCCACACTAGGAAAACAGAGCGAGCTCAAATAAACAACCTAATGATGAATCTTAGACTCCTAGAAAAACATGAGCAAGAAAAACCCAAAGCTTAAACAACAGAGGAAATTATAAAGATTAGAGCAGAAATCAATGCAATGGAAACTAAGAAAATGATACAAAAATAAATGAATTGAAGAGTTGGTCTTTTGAAAGAATAAATAAAATAAACCTTTAGCTAACTTTATCAAACAAAAAAAGGAAAGAAAAGGCACAGATCCATGCAACTAGGAATGAAAAAGGTGAAGTCACAACAGATCCAACAGAAATCCAGAGGATAGTCAATACCTACTTTCAGAACCTGTACTCTATAAAATGGAAAACACAGAAGGAATGGACAGATTTCTAGATACTTATGAATTACCAAAGTTGAACAAAGAAGATGAAAACATTTTAAACACCCTGACTACAATCAGTGAAATTGAAAATGTAATTAAAAACTTAACAACAAAGAAAAGCCCAGATCCTGATGGATTCACTGCTGAATTTTACAAGACATTTAGAGAAGAACTACTGTCATTCCTCTTCAAACTTTTCAATGAAATTGAAAGGGAAACAATACTTCCAAATTCATTCCTGGAAGCAGGTATCACTTTGATTCCCAAACCAGGGAAAGATGCAACTAAAAAAGAGAACTACAGGCCAATCTCCTTAATGAATATAGATGCAAATATCCTTAATAAGATACTAGCAAACAGAATACAGAGGATAATCAAGAAGATCATACATCCTGACCAAGTTGGATTTATTCCAGGGGTGCAAGAATATGTTCAACATATGTAAATCAATTAATGTAATACACTATATTAACAAAGTCAAGGACAAAAACCACATAATCCTCTCAATAGATGCAGAAAAAGCATTTGACAGAGTTCAACACCCATTCATGACAAAAACTCTGAAAAAAATTGGAGTAGATGGTCTTTATCTCAACTTAATAAAGGCTATCTATGAAAAACCAACAGCCAACATCGTATTAAATGCCCCAAAATTGAAAACCTTCACGTTAAAATCAGGAACAAGACAAGGATGCCCCACTATCACCCCTCCTCTTTGATATAGCTCTGGAGACAGGCATAGAAATTAGACATGTAAAATGAATTAAAGCAATAAAGATAGGAAAGGAAGAAGTTAAACTTCATTATTTGCTGATGATATGATACTCTACATTGAAGACCCAAAAAACTCCACCAAAAGACTTCTAGACTTAACTGACAGATTCAGTAGAGTAGCTGGATACAAGGAGAACACCCCAAAATCAATAGCCTTCTTGTACACAAAAAACAGACTCACCAAAAGAGAAATTAGGGAAACAATTCCTTTCACAATAGCATCCAAAAAAAAAATGAAGTATCTAGGAATCAATCTAACAAAAGAAGCAAAAGACCACTACACTGAAAGCTATAGCACTCTGAAAAAAGAAATCAAAGAGGATATTAAAAAATGGAAAGATAGCCCCTGCTCCTGGGTAGGAAGAGTCAACATAGTGAAAATGGCCATACTACCACAACTGCTCTACAGATTTAATGCAATGCCAATTGAAATTCCAACACTATATTTCACAGAACTAGAAAAAAGAATCCAAAAATTCATTTGGAACCAGAAGAGACCTAGAATAGCAAAAGCCATCCTCGGCAACAGACACAGGGCAGCAGGTATAACAATTCCCAATTTGAAACTATACTAGAAATCCACTGTGATAAAAACAGCATGGCACTGGCAAAGAAACAGACCTGAGGATCAGTGGAACAGACTGGAAGACACAAAAACAACTCCAGATATACTGAGCTACCTCATCTTTGACAAGGGAGCTGATCATCCCCACTGGAAGAAAGATAGCCTCTTTAATAAATGGTGTTGGAAAAACTGGATCCCAACCTGCAAAAGATTAAAATTAGATCCTAATCTTTCACCATGTACTAAATTAAAATCCAAGTGGATTAAATATCTAAATATAAAAACAAAAACACTAAACTTGCTGGAAGATAAGTTAGGCAGAACTCTGGAAGACGTTGGCATAGAAAAAGACTTTATGAACAAATCCTCAGTAGCAGGGGAACTAGCAGAAAGAATCAACAACTGGGATCTCATCTTATTAAAAAGCTTCTGCACTGCAAAAGAAACCATCAACAGAACTAAAAGACAACCTACAATGTGGGAAAAAAATTTTACCAGCTGCTCCTCAAAGGGCTATTATTTAGAATATATAAAGAACTCCAAGAAATCAGGCCCCCCAAAATATAAAGACTGATTCAAAAATGGGCATCTGAAATAAACACTTTGCAGACAAAGAAGTAAAAGCAGCAAGTAAATATATGAAAAAATATTCCATATCACTGGTCATTTGAGAGATACAGATGAAAACAACACTCAGATTCCACCTCTCCCCACAAAGAATGGCTGTTATCAAGAAATTACACAATAGCAAGTGTTGGCGAGTTTGTGGAAAGAAAGGGACCCTTCTCCATTGTTGGTGGGAGTGCAGACTGGTGCAGCCACTATGGAAATCAATATGGAGTTACCTCAAAGAACTAGGATGGGAGGTTCCATTTGACCTAGCTCTCCTTCTGCTGGGTATCTTTCCAAAAGAATTAAAAGAATCATATCACAGTGATATATGTGCACCTATGTTTATAGCAGCACAGTTTGTAATAGCTAAAACTTGGAAATAGCCCATTTTCCCATCAGTTGGAGACTGGATAAAGATATGGTTTTTCTATGAAATGCAATACTACTCAGCCATAAAGAATGAGAAATTAGAGTCATTCATAGGAAAGTGGATACATATTAAGGACATACTCCTAAGTGAAATAAAGAAGTTAAACATTTGTAAATACTGAATAGTTTCTCTGCTGTGAAAAACTATAATAGTACACAAGATTCTAATGAGATAATTAACAATGTGAAATAGGAAGAAAATGGCTAAAGGTGTAGGGAAAGTGATAAGGGTAGGGGAAAGGGAATAAGGGAAAAGAAAAAAATAAGAGAAAATGGAAAAATGGAAATAAAGTGTTTGTAAATGGGGAGGGGAGGAGGGGGTGAGGGGAGGGCAGGGACAAGGGGAAAAAAATGAGAACCAAGACCTGTCATGTAAAGGTACAAGATCCCAATAATGAATGAAACTGTACTGTATACCTAAAATGTATCAATAAATTCAATAAAAAAAAAAAAAAAAAAAAAGAACTTCAGGTTGGAAGCACATGACTCTACCGGTCCTTTCCACTAAATTCCAAGTGCCCAGACAGGTTGCAGGCTGTGGGTAAAAGCTGGCAAAAAGAAATAGAAACCAGCCAAGTTCACTACTGCCAAAGAACACTCTTTAAAACGTACTGCATGCACAGGGTGAGAGATAACAGGACTTGCCTTGCCTTCCTGGAACATGAGATCTCAGCAGGCAAGCATGACAAAGGCTCCCTGAAATGACATCACAGGCTGCTATTGTCCCCATTGTCCAGGCAACAGCGGCTGAGCTCAGCACACCTTTAGGGTGAACACATCAATGCAAACAGTGTAGCTAGGGGTCCTGCCCCTGAGGCCTTCCTCGGAGGGTGGATACCACTGCCTCCTCCGTGGCTACTTAGGCTGCAGCCCCCAACCTCCTCTCCACACAACCAGCCAGGCTTGGCCGAATGCAGCCCCAGCCACCATCTGTGTCAACCAAATCCAAGCATTGTTTTCTCCCTAATTTGTTTTTCATTATTCTCTCTTTAATGAGCCCTTTCAATATGGTAAGGGGCCTAAATTATTATTTTACTCTTCCTGGAAAATTGCACACAATTTAATGAGTACACCGAGGCATGTTCAGCATTCACTTGTAACATCCCCAGCAAGGAGACCGAATCACTCCAGGTTTCCAGGTTCAAAACAGTCATCTCCCAGCAGAGTTTTTGCAGAGTGGAGCAGCAACCAATACTCTTAAGTTCTCAACTACTTGGTCCCTGTGTTGGCCATGATTTGTGGTTACCATGAACAAAAACCTTCCCTGGTTAGGTGACACAGGACAGGAATGCATTGGAAGGATAACAGGTACCTCAGAATCAAAGAGAAGACTCAAAGAGTGGCCCAAATAAGGGTAGGCCAAGTGGCTGCCATGACAGCCAAGTTCACTATCAGGGTGAGTCTGGCAGCAATATCATGAAAACTGTCCCTGCTGGACCTTCCAGATTCATTGATGTTGCTGCTCCCACCACCACGGATACAGAGGGTATCCCATGAGACCCCCTCACCTCCACCTCACCAAACTCCTGAGGCAGGAGGAGCATCTGCTTGGTCAATATTTGTGCTGAGAGGATCCTGCACACTGATTCATACTGCCCAAACACAAATTGGGCTTGGAGATGTTGAGTTGCATTAAAAAACAACAACAGCCTACTACTCTCACTGAGTGCTATAGTGATACTGGACAAAATTTCAACAGCTCTGAGCTTCAAATTTGTCCTCAGAGAACATTCAGTAAGTTAAAATGATAAGTTTTTAAAATGTAAACTACTAGGAAGCCATCTGTTTCTAATATTAGAAGAAATTAATGTAAGCCTAAATGACTTGAAATAGGAAGGCCTGTGAGCACAGCGGGCAGGAGGGTGACCTCAGCCTGGGAGATTCGAGGCACAGGTACCACACGCCATACAGCTAGGCCATGGAAACCAACCACAGGAATCAGCAGATGTAGATCCTTAAGAAACTGAGATTAAGATGTTCAAGGAATTAAATCACAAGATGGGAAATTTTAGTAGCAAACTGAAAAGTATTTAAAAAATCAAATGGATAAATTTGGTTTTGAATTAAAATTCAATGAGTGGATTTAGCAATAAGTTACTCTTTTAAGAATTACTCAAGAATAGCAAATAAAATGTAGATTTTGCAGATTAAAGTATAGAGGAAAAATACAGAAGGCACAGAAGAAAATATGAGACATACTGAACATAGCCCAAAAAAGGGCATAAAATATATGAAACTGAAATCCCAAAAGGAGAGGTGAAAATTAATAGAAAAGAAGCAATATTTAAAGAAATGTTTAAAAGAGATTAAATTCTCAAGCCATAAATTCATGAATAGAAATATAAATAATACTTAAACATATTATAGCAAAATGCTAAAAACAAAACACAGAGATAAAATCTTAAAAGAACCCAGTGGGAGAGGATACGTTAGCATCAAAGAAGCAACAATAAAACTGACCTCTAACTTTTATTAGAAACACTAAATACTGAAAGACATGAAATTGTGTCTTCAAAGTGCTGAATGAGAAATAATTTTTAATTCTCCAAAATCTAAATTGAACTCAAAGTATTTCTACACAACAAAGCCTAAGAAAATTTGTCACCAGCATTCACACACTAAAGAATATTCTTTAGACAGAAAGAAAATGATCTCAATTGGAAGCATGAGAATTCAGGGGAAAAAAATAAGAGCCCTCAAAAGTATAAATATAATAACAGATAAACCCAAATTAATGTTTACCAGATAACCAATAATAATATTAATATCTTATAAAGCTTAAAGGAATTGAGAAGTTACGTAACAATAATTGTACTTATTGAAGGAGAAAATAAATTAAAATGTCCTCAGGTCTTTAAATTCCATGAGAAGTATTAAAAGAACTAATTTATATTGTAGTGTATGAAGTCAAGGATACAAGTTGTAATTTCTAGAATGAAAAAATAATAAAAGAATAAAACCTAATAAGATAACATATGAGCAAAATAAAGAACAATCAGAATGTAAAACAGAAAAGTTAAGAACAAAATAACCTCTGGGTAAGAGGTAATAAGGTGGTAGAGTTAAACAAAAAAAAAAGGCATACTATCGATGATGATAATAATAAATGTAAATGCACTAAAGAAATCCAATTAAAAGATCTATTTTGTCATAACTGATTTAAAACGAAATAACTATATGCTGTTTGTAAGAGTAACTCCTTAAATATAAGGATGAAGAAAATTTGAAAGTAGAAAGATGAAAAAATACAAACTATAAATTGAACAATCAGAGTTTGAAGTTGGATATAAGGAAGACATTCCCAACATTAATGGAAGACAGTAGAACAAGCTGTTATGGAAAATATTCAAGAATAGAAAAAGGTTCTCATCAATCTTTCAGAAGCATAGAGATATAAGAGGCAACAACAGAAGAAGCTGTCCTGTCAGGCCCATGTTTGGTTTGCTTTTTTTTTTTTTTTTTTTTTTTTTTTTTTTTTTTTTTTTTTTTTGGTTTGGTTTGCTATTGTCTGGTCTGGTCTGGTCTGTTCTGGACTGGTTTGGTTTGCTTTGGTTCAGTTCTGTTTTACTGGGGATTTTACCCAGGCATACTCTACCACTGAGGTATATCCCCAACCCTTGTTATTTTTTATTTTGAGACACAGTCTTGCTACATTGACCAAACTGAGCTCAAATTTGTAATCCTTTTGCCTCAGCCTCCCAAGTAGCTGGGTTTACAGGCAGATGCCATGACACTCAGCCAGACACATGCTGTTGTTGTTGTTGTTGTTGTTGTTGTTGTTGTTGTTGTTTTGTTTCTAATTAAACTTTGTTTTAGTGGATCTAAAAATTCTGTGATGACAGATTTTTGGTTGAGTCGTTTCCATTAAAAAGTGATTTTAAAAAGTAATAACTTAAGGCTGGCACACACAAAAAGAAAAGAAATGGTCCTTAGAACATTCTTCTTCCTCCTGAAGGTTTTATGATGCATTGTTATCATTAACCAGTCTTTTTCTATTAAACTTAAATGGCCAATTGAGAAACAGTTCTGAGACTGGTCTTCCACCACTGATTAAAACTGGGGTGGCAGGTGTTAGGGATAATATTCACTTAGCCTTCTGAACAACTTTCTGAGCAGACTTGGTGCCCTTGCCAGCTCCAGCAGCCTTCTTGTCCACTGCTTTGATGACACCCACAGCAACTGTCTGTCTCATATCACGAACAGTGAAATGATCCAGAGGTGGATAGTCTAAGAAGCTCTGGACACACATGAGCTTGCCTCGAACCATGTCAACAATGGCAGCATCACCAGATTTCAAGAATTTGGGGCCATCTTACAGCTTCTTACCCAACTGACAATCAATCTTTTCTTTCGGCTCAGCAAACTTGCAAGCTGTGTGAGCTGTGTGGTCATCCAGTACAGGGGCACAGCCAGCACTGATTTGCCCAGGATGGTTCAGGATAATCACCTGAGCAGTGAAACTAGCTGCTTCCACTGGTGGGTCATTCGTGCTGTCACCAGCCACACTGCCACAATCATTGCTCTTACATGATAACATACAAGGCGTGTTCCAAGAATAGCACAGATGCTAGTGATATTAACACGGTGATGACTAAGAAAGAAAAGTGGCAATAAATGAAATAGGGGAGAAAGCCAGAGATTGGTTCATAAGGTGTCCTTATAGCCTGGCATGGGTATGGAAAGGGAAAGCATTAGAAAGACTGAAAAGAGGAGTAGTGTTAATTTGACTCATCTGTATGAAATTTGGAGCTGCAATATGATGGGGACTGAGGAAGATTGAGGGCCAGGAGAAGCAGAGAGACTGGGTGGTCTGTGCCCCAGGAAAGAGTCTTGGTTTGGTGCCATAGGTGATGAGGAGGTGCTTAGATATTGGATATAGGGTCTACTCTGAATGTGGGGAAGTCAGGACCTGCTGACAGATGGAACATGAGGAGAAGGAAAAGAGGACTAAAGTCTGATTCCTAGATCTTTGACCTGCGTGCCTGGGTGAACTCCATACTGGAGTGAAGAACAGGGCTGGTGAGATGTGGAATCAAATTCTACTTTGTCCACGGTAGGTTGGTGATGTTCAGTTGGTATTTCGGTATCCAAGTCTGGACATTAGGGAACAATTTAGGACTGGAAAATTAATTCCGGAGTAATGAAGGAATAACCATGGCATTGGATGAAATCACCTAGTGCAGCTAGAGAAAAAAGGCAGCAAGGGACTAAGCCCAGGGGTATGCTGACATTAGATAGAGGAGGAAGGGAAGAGCCAGTGAGATGGTAAAGGACTTGCCAGTGAGTTAGGAGAAAAATCAGGAGACTGGCATGCTAAAAGCAGGCAAAGAAAGTGTTTCCAGAAGGCGAGTTTCCGCACGATCTCATGTACAGGAGGACTCAAGTTTAAAAAGCTGACCTCATGTAAGTGGAGAGTAGAAGAGTGGTTACCAGGGGCTGGGGAGAGTGGAGAGAAGATGGAGAGAACATAGCTAACAGGAGCAGAGGTATAATTGACAGGGGGAATTTTGGAGTAACTCGGCTGGACAACTATTAATTGTATACTTCAAAAGAGCTATGGGGGATTTTAAAGAAATGACAAGTGTTTATAAAGAAATGACAAGTATTTGAGATTACGTGTGTGCCAATTACCCTAATCTAATCATTCCGCAAGCATATACACTTAC